TCACAGTCCAGTATCTAAACTGCATTAATTCTGCAGCGTAGATGCAACCTAACACTGTGTGATTGCCTTTGGTCCTTAAAAGCAGGGGTGGCTGTTTTAACTATTTGTGGATTTTAAACTACTTTAAGAAGTTGTTTTAATCTATTTTTAAATGTTGTGTATGTGTATATAAAATGTTTTAAATGTTTTTATCTGTTGAAAATCACTTCAGGGACCCTGGCAGACTGAGAGGGCAATAAATAAATGTTTTAAATAGATGTTTTATATGACAGATATTAGGGCCGAGCCCTGAGTCTCCAGTTTTATGAGTCATCTCCAGGAGTGACACAAAGGTGCAAATTCTCCATTTTGGGGTGGGGGTGGAGAGGAGTTCAGTTCCAGCCAAGAGGAAAGGGCTAGGGGCTTATCTTCAGCTCAGCTAGTAGAGTGGCAGCTTGATGCAATTTGCAGAGCTTCACTGATTTGTTGCTGCATCTTGCAAAGACTTGGTGTATTTATTTGGTTGGCATCTTCCTTCCCTCCCATTTATATTGCCTGAGTGCCTCCTCTGCTCTTCTCTGCATCCACCTTCATGCTAGAAGCAACTAGGCTAGATTAAATGTTCCATATCCCATCTCCTTAGGTAGGTGAGAAGCAATAACTTCTCTTCATTTCACCTTGATCTGGGAGCAGCCTCTTTACCAGATTGCTCTCTTAATTTCCAAACAGGAAAATATGCTCTGCTTGTGTTTGTTGTTTTGAGTGATATGCTAGAAACAACTTGGTAGGAACTTAATGCTGAATGATTGACAACAATACCAGATGGCAATGGAGTCCTGGATATTCATGGGGGTAGCTAATAGTCTGGAGCTCCCAGTCTGGAGTCTGGAGGTGGGACAAAGCCCCTAGTCCCAAAGCATCCCTTTTGTTCTACTCTCTTAGACTCTCCCTTTGTGGTCACTCAAGGCTTTTTATAACTTATGCTGAGAAGGATCTCAAAGGTTCCCACTTTGGCCCACCTGGCCATCTCCTTGGGCAGTTGCTCTCTTGTGTCTCATCAGTTCAGGTTGAGGAGTTCCTTTTACATGGCCTGTAATTTCTTCCACTTCTGGACAGTTTCTCACAGAATGCATTTTGCAACTGTGTGAGGCAGAACGGAGAAGCAGTCCCCAAAGTGTGATCCAGATTGTCATTCAGCCTCCTGCGCCTGCTGTGTTAAAATTGGACTCTGGGGCCTTGTTGCCGATTCTGTCATAGGGCCTCTTCCCCATCTGTGCATCTCAGGTCCTACCTCGAAGACAAAAACAATATTCAGCTTGGAAAGCTTTGGATAGGGTGGCCTAATTACTTTTTAATTGTGCAACACCACTGCAGTTGGCACAACTCTTTCTGTTGTAGCAGGTAAAATATAAACATTAAGGCTTGAGTTAAAAGAGGCATTAGCTCTTAAATTAATTAAATTAAACCCATGCTGTTTCTCCCTAGGTTTGGTTGGGTTTTTTGGGGAGGCGGGGCTATAATTTAAAAAAATGCAGTGAGGATAGTTTCTACATTAAATGAACAGGAGAAAATGCTCTTTTATCAATAATGTATATATTTTTAATGCCGCCTTCTATTTCTCTATGGGGGCTCATTGAACACAGCAGATAATATTGAAAGTATTACCAGGTTTGGCACAAATGATGCATCTAGCTGAGTGCCTTTCTTTTTAATTGTCTATTGTTAGCTACCAATTTCATCTTTTAATTTTTCTTAAAAAAAAAAATCTTCCTCCTGGTGCAAAGGATGGCAACTCGGCGTGCATTGAAAGCTGTCTTGGTGGATCTCAGTGGCACACTTCACATAGAAGATGTGGCTGTTCCTGGGGCCCAGGAAGCTCTTAAAAGGTAAGTTATTCCTTCCAGGTACCTCTGATAAAGCTGAAAAACATGGGGAAATGCCATTTTCAAAAAGACATCTTTTGAGCGAAGGGGGCACTATCTTAGGAAAGGGTGCTGGGAGTGAGTGATGAATGAGTCTAGACCTCCAGCCCTGCAAAGCAAATTTGGAGGAAGTTGCAGGGAGGAATTTGCTTTATCCAGCATGTACATGCTGGTGAATGGATGATGTAGGATTTCACCCTACTTTTGCTTTGAGTTCATACCAATACTTGTGTAGTAAACCTGGGAAAGTTGCAAGATTTGGGCAAGTTTCTTTTTTGGAACAATCATTCCCAGACCTCTCAGTGTCAGGCCCAGCAGGAATCAAATTCAGAAAACTCAGACTTCAGTAGTAAAATCTCATCAAACCTCTATTCAGTAACTATAGCTCCAAACCAGAGATTTTCAGTATTGAAAACTCAGCAAACCTTTATTCAATAACTATAACTCCAAACCAGAGAAGTTCATTGTCAGAACTAAACAGCAAGTGTTAACAATGTCTAATTAAACTACACACAATTTCAAATTCATAGCAGGCTGTATTCCCATTTGTTAAGGCTGATAAATGTATTTACTTCCTCTCAGTTCCCATACCGCCCCTATTTGTTCTTATAGCCAGATTTTCCCCACAGGAACAGCCTTGAGCAAGTTTGAGTCGTGCCTGCCTCTTCTACAGTGTTATTACATCACCTGTCACTGAGATAACTATTTTTCTACAGTACTTGTTTCACTGTTTATCCCA